AATGCCAAAACAAAAGTAACGGTAATGGCAAGGCGGTGACTATTATTTCTTATGTCATTTTTGATGTTCTTGCAAGATTTTAGGTAGTTCGGGTCTGGTAGCCCGGCCCCATGAAGAAGAAATGGGCTATAGGACACGGAAATTTGGGAATCAAGTGGAATTTCAGTTTTAGAGCCCTAAAATACTAAAAAAACGAGTAACAGTCATGGTTAGGCGGTGACTATTGTTCCTTAGGTCATTTTTGATGGTCCAAAAAATTTTGGACAGTCCGGGACTGGTGGCCCGATCCCATGAAGAAGACGTGGGCTATAGCATATGAAAATCTGGGAATCGGGCGGAATTCTAGTTTTATGGCCTTAAAACTCCAAAAAATGAGTAATGGTCATGGCAAGACAATGACTATTGCTACTTAGGTCATTTTTTTTGGTCCGGCAAAATTTTAGGCGGTTCGGGTCCGATGGTCCGGGTCCATGCAGAAAGCGTGGCCTATAGCACTCGAAAATCTGGGATTCAGGCAAAATTCTAGTTTTATGGCCCTAAAACGCCAAAAAATGAGTAATGGTTATGGCCAGACGGTGACTATTGTTTTTTAGGTCGATTTTGATGGTCCGACAAAATTTACGACGGACTGGGTCCCATGGCCCCGACCCATACAGAAGGCGTGGGCTATAGCACACGAAAATCTAGGAATCGGGTGAAATTCAAATTTTAGGCCCTAAAATGCCTAAAAATGAGTAACGATCATGGAGAGGTGGTAGCTATTTTTCGTTAGGTCATTTTTTATGGTCCCACAAAATTTTAGCCAATCTGGGTTAGATTTTTCGGGCCCATGCAGAAGGCGTGGGCTATATAACACACAAAAATCAGGAAATTTGATGAAATTCTAGTTTTAGGCCCTAAAATGCCAAAACACGAGTAACAGTCATGGCTAGCGATGACTATTATTCCTTAGGTCATTTTTGATTGTCCAACAAAATTTTAGGCGGTTCGATTCCGCAGGCCTAATCCCATGCAGAAGGCGTGGGCTAGCAGACGAAAATCCGAGAATCGGGCAAATATGGCCGTAAAATGCCAAAAAATGAGTAACGGTCATGGTGAGGCGGTGACTAATATTTCTTAGGTAGTTTTTGATAGTCCTACAAAATTTTAGGAGGTCCAGATCCGATGACCCGGGTTCATGCAGAAAGTGTGGGCTATAATAGAAGAAAATCTAGGAATCGGGCAGAATTCTAGTTTTATGGCCCTAAAACGCCAAAAAATGAGTAACGGTTTTGGCCAGGCGGTGACTATTATTTTTAGGTCGATTTTTATGGTCCGACAGAATTTTAGGCGTATCGGGTCCGTAGGTACCGACCCATATACAAGGCGTGGACTAAAGCACACAAAAATCTGAGAATAAGGTGGAATTCCTGTTAACGGTTATGGTCAGGTGATGACCATTGTTTCTTAGGTCGATTTTGATGGTATGACAGATTTTTAGGCGGACCGGGTCCGGTGGCTCGGGCCCATGCAGGGCTAACACACGAAAATCTGGGAATCAGGTGGAATTCTAGTTTTACGCCTTAAAACGCCAAAAAATGAGTAACGGTCATGGCGAGGCGATGACTATTTTTCCTTAGGTCATTTTTGATAGTTTGAAAAAATTTTAGGCGGTCCAGATTCGGTTGCCCGGGCCCATGCCGAAGGCGTAGGGTATAGCACACGAAAATCAAGGAATAAGGTGAAATTCCAGTTTTAGGCCCTAAAATGCCAAAAAAATGAGTAACGGTCATGGCTAGGCGTTGACTATTGTTCCTTAGGTCATTTTTTATTGTCCGACAAAATATTAGATGGTCCGGTTCCGGTGGCCCGATCTAATGCAGAAACGTGGGCTATAGCACACGAAAATATGAAAATCGGACGAAATTCTAGTTTTATGGCCCTAAGACGCCAAAATATGAGTAACGGTCATGGCCAGACGGTGACTATTGTTCCATAGGTCATTTTTTATAGTCCGACATAATTTTAGGCGGTCCGGGTTCAGTGGCCGAGGCCCATGCACAAGGCGTGGGCTATGCACATGAAAATCTTGAAATCGGGCAGAATTCTTGATTTATGGATCTAAAACACCATAAATTTAGTAACGGTCATGGTGAGGCGGTGACTATTGTTCCTTAGATCGTTTTTAATGATCCAACAAAATTTAATATGGTCAGAGTCGTGTGGCCCGTGCCCGTGCAGAAGCGTGGGCTATAGGACACGAAAATCTTGGAATCTCGCAAAATTCCAATTTTTTGTCCTTAGAAGGCCAAAAAATGAGTAACAGTCAAGGCAAGACGGTGACTATTGTTCCTTAGGTCATTGTTGATGGTCTGGCAAAATTTTAGGAGGTCCGGGTCTGGTGACCCGAGCCCATACATAAGGTGTGGGCTATAGCACAGTAAAATCTGGTAATCGGGCAAAATTCCAGTTTTATGGCTATAAAATGCCAAACGACGAGGAACGGTCATGGCGTGGCGGTGACTATTGTTACTTAGGACATTTTTTATGGACCAACAATATTTTAATCGGTCCAGGTATGGTGGCCCAGGCCCATACAAAAGGATTGTGCTATAACACCTAAAAGTGTTGGAAGCGGGCGAAATTTTAGTTTTCTGGTCCTAAAACGCCAAACAATATGTAACGGTCATGCCGAGGCAATGACTGACATTCCTTAGATCATTTTGGATGTTCCGATAAAATTATAGGCGGTCCGGGATGGGTAGCCCAGCCCAATGTAAAAGACGTGGGCTATAGCTCACGAAAGTTTGGAAATTGGGCGGAATTCCAATTTTATGGCCCGAAAATGCCAAAAACGAGTAACGATCATGGAGAGGCAGTGACTATTGTTCCTTAGGTTATTTTTGATGGTCTGACAAAATTTTATTCGGTCTGGGTCCGGTGGCCCCGGCCCATTCAGAAGGCGCACACGAAAATCTGGAAATCAGATGGCATACGAGTTTATAGCCCTAAAACACCAAAAAGAAGTAACGGTAATGGCGAAGCGGTGACTATTGTTCCTTAGGTCATTTTTGATGTTCCGAAAAAATATAAGGCGGTCTGAGTCCGGTGGCTCGGGTCTATGTAGAAGGCGTGGGCTAGCACACGAAAATCTGGAAATGAGATTCTCATGGCAAGGTAGTGACTATTGTTTCTTAGGTCGTTTTTGAATCCAGAATAATTTTAGGCGATGCGGGTCTAGTGGCCCGGGACCATGGAGAAGGCGTGTGCTAAAATTAGAGAATCTAGCAGAATTCCAGTTTTTATTCCCCTAAAATGTCAAAAAATGAGTAACAGCCATGGCGAGGCGGTGACTATTGTTCCTTAGGTCATTTTTGGTGTTCCATCCAAATTTTAGGCGGTCCAGGTCCGGTGTCCGGGCCCATGTAGAATGCGTAGGCTATAGCACATGAGAATTTGGGAATCAGACGGAATTCCAGTTTTATGGCCCTAAAACGCTAAAAACGAGTAACAGTAATGGTGAGGAGGTGACTATTGTTCCTTCTATCATTATTTATATTTCGACAAATTTTTTAGGCGGTCCGGGTCCTGTGGCCCGGGCCCATGCAGAAGGCATGTGCTATAGTACATGAAAATCCGAGAATCAAGCGAAATTCCTGTTTTATAGCCCTAAAACACAAAAAAAATGAGTAACGATCATAGCGAGCTGGTGACTATTATTCCTTAGGTTTTTTTGATTGTTCGGAAAATTTTAGGCGGTCAGGGAACGGTGGCCCGGGCCCACGCAGAAGGCGAGGGTTATAGCACACGAAAATCTGAGAATCGGACGGAATTCCAGTTTTATGACCGTAAAACACTAAAAATGAGTAAAGGTCAAGGCAAAGCGGTGATTATTGTACCTTAGTTTATTTTTTATGGTTCGGTAAAATTTTAAACGGTCCGGTTTCGACGGCCCGAGCCCATGCCAAAGGCGTAGGCTATAACACACGAAAATTTTGGAATCAAGCGAAATTCTTGTTTTATGGCCCTAAAACGCAAAAATAGAGCAATGGTCATGGTGAATGTGAGCACGTAATTTTTGCCCTCCATAAAATTACCCCTAAAAATTCAAAAAAAAATAAAAATAATAATAGTCTTGTAATTATGTTTTGATTTTTTTTAGTTTTTGTTTACATTTTTCGTGACATCTAATTGCATTTGCATAATTAGGAAACATTTTTAAATCATAAAATCACCAAAAATATTTCATCATTTTATTCGCCTTATTTATAATTTTAAATTGCATTATTAGCATTTAATTGCATATAGTAGTACTCAAAAAGAAAAATAACAAAATCACATTAGTTGCTTCCTTCACACATTGACGGTTCAATTAGTTTTTTTTTTTTTAAAAAAACAAACGCTAATTAGGCCATCTTGGCAAAATGGATTCAATTAGACTTAATTTGATTATATTTGAAATTAAGGAAAGAAGAGAAGGGAAGAGCCCAACTCCTTAGGTCAAATTGGGCCAATTCTATCAGCCAAGTTCCCTTTCAACAAGCTGAAATCCGTCCAAAATCCGCTCCAGTC